AGTTCCAGTTTGGTGCAATGAGCTATTACTCCAGGGATGTCAAGCTCAATTTCATTGAGGCCCACATCAGGTTGTGTTTGACCTTGGGGGGGGGGGGCATGGTGGGTGTAGCTGGGATGGGCATGGCCAGGGTTGGAGCACGTGTGGTGGCCAAATACAAAGGATTCCCACAGACCCTCCCTCACTCTCATTATAATCTCCCTCCCTTCTTCCCTCCCTTCCTTCCTCCCTCCCTCTCTTCTTTCCTTCTTTCCTTCCTTTTCTTCTTTTTCCTTTCTTCTTCATTCTCCTTTCTTCTTCCTTCCTCTTTCCTTAGTTTTCCTTCCATGCTCTCTTCCCATCTTACCTTTCTTTTCTTTGTCTTTTCTCTTTCTTTTTCTCCTTTCCCACCCCTTCCTGCATGTTCTAATGCAAAAGGGGAAACATTTCTCCTTTTATTTTATTTATGTTTTTGCTTTGCTAGCCCTCTGCCAGAGAAAACAGAGCTCTGGGGGATCCCTGAGCCATGTTTTTGGCTGCGACAGCCTTCTGCAGCCCTCTGCAGTGAAAATGGAACCAATCACTGCAGGCGGCCATTGTGGCCAGAAACAGGGCCCACAAGGGCTGCATGAGACCCTCCCAAGCTCAATTTTTATTGGCAGAAGCACCATGGGGCAGTCCTTTGCTGTTTCCAAGGTGGCCCCATATGATACATCAAAGCACCCCATCAGCCAGATCTTGTCCACGGGCCTTGAGTTTTACACCCCTATATTACTTTACCTTTTCAGTTGGCATATGTAAAAGAAAGGAAAGAGATATAAGGATTCCCGCCCTGATTTCCTTCTCTTTTGTTATGCAGACCAATGTTTGATCTTGTATTTTAAATATGTTCTCCGAGAATTCAGTCAACCATCCATTTATTATTAAGGACTCTGTGACATCCGTATTGTGAAAAAGAGTAGCATATATTATGTTGGTTTATGAGATAACTCATCTCCATGCCATCCATCTTAGTATTGATTTTTTTTGTCATTTTAAATTTATAATTAGTACAGTTTTAATATATTAACTATTAGTAACATTTGCAATTAGTAAGGATATACTGTCATAATATAAGCAGATATGAATCTCACTGTAAAAGACATATCAAATTTAATTTGTGTACAAGCTGCATGCATTTGGATGGAATGTAGCTATCAGAAATCTAGCCTACAGTCTTCAGAGACATCTAAAATTTGATAGTAAAATGAAATCTATGTATTAGAAGATAATTCTGCAGAATTGCAGTAAAAAAAGAAAAAAAATGAAATTTTGTCCCCTGTATTATGCAATGCAAATAGATAACAGTCATAAAAAGTTCCCAACAGCTTCAAAATAGAAAGATTGTATATGCGCATTACCACAGAAGTGTTGCACACCAAAAATCCACATCATGCCTGCTTTATCCTTTTCTATCTATCTTGTAGTAAGCCAGTTTGCACCCAGGAAATTGTGAGTTCTAATCCTGCCTTAGGCATGAAAACCAACTGGGTGACTGGACCATAGGGTTGTTGTTGTGGGAAAATGTGCGTACATACACACCCACACTGAGAGAGAGGGAGGGAGGGAGAGAGAGGGAGAGGGAGGGAGGGAGAAACAATGAAATATGTGTATGGCTATATATGTAAGTGAAGCAAGGTGTATGACTATATATGTACATATATAGTCATACACCTTGCTTCACATACATATATACACACAATGTGTGTGTGTAACTGTACATAGATAGCCATACACCTTTATCTTCTTGTGGAATGAGAAATTGACAAAACCGTACATATATACACCTTTATCTTCTTGTGGAATGAGAAATTGACAAAACCGTACATATATACACCTTTATCTTCTTGTGGAATGAGAAACTGACAAATCTAAGAAGCATGTCTCCATGAATATAGGCATGATGGATTTTAGGCGCACAAGCAGAATTCTATTCATAACACTGACTGTTAGGAAGAAAACAATTAATTTATTCAACCAGGTGATTGATATGTGTGATTTAGTTTATTCAACAAAATTTCAGATTATGTTTTTTTTTTCTTTTTCAGGGTCAAAAACTGGTTGAACGGATCCAAAGTGGTCATATAATTGAGTAACTACTTTAGGTGAGCTAAGATGGAGATATAGTTTGTACCTTGACGTTTTTGTGATTTTATGCTGACGATTCTTGAATGGGATAGATGCAGGGGTGAAATCCTTCCGGTTCAGCCTGGTTCGGTTGAACTGGTAGGAACAATTGTCCCTGGTTCTGCAAACTGGTAGTAAAAAAAAAAAAATTCCTAGAATCATGCAGCTCAGCTGTGAGCCATGTGATTGTGGGAAGCTTTTTTTTTTTTGCTTTTTAAAGCATTTTTTCCTGCCAGTACAAGTGAATTGGCAGGAAAAAATGCTTTTAAAGTGGAAAAAAAGCTTTTTAAAAAACGTTTGAAACCATTTTTTCCTGCCTCTTTGCCTGAACTGGCAGGAAAAAATGATTTAAAAAGTGAAAAATGCCCACCTAGTCACATGACCCGCTTCCAGCAAGCCAGTGGGCAAAAAAAAAAAAAAAGATTTCACCACTGGATAGGTGTCATCCTTGTGCATCAAAGATACAAATGTATGAATAAACATGTATTCAGTAATGATATTCCTTAGCTTAATAAAACATGACTCTTCTTTCTCTTCAAAAAATCCCTTCCTTATTTTGTAAAATCTATGGTGAATTAATTTATTTTCTATATTCTCAAAATCTTTTAGTTTAAGATAGTATTTCTCTTTGAATTTATAATAGACCATAACAAATAACCATGTTGGATTATCTATTTATCCAGCTGCTATGAAGTATGTTGATAATTTCTGCTTTGCAACACATAGATTCTAATGCAATGTCACTGTTGTTCTTTTAGCTTCGTTTCTTTTTGCATTATTGTCCAAAATATATGATTCATGTAAAAAATAAGCAATGGCATTGTCACTAAACTATTTTTTCCCCATAATATCTCTCTCAAAATTCAATTTCTCCCCTTAATTCTTGATAACTGAGTTTAAATATTCTATTTGTATATCTTTGGCACTAGAAATAACAGATTGATCCTATTCTTTTTTGTAGCTTCCTCACTGGAAGGATGCTGAAGATAAAGTATCCACACGTTCTCAAACATCCTTGGTTGGTACGTGTCAGCCATCTAATGCCAAGGACAAAAATTAATTCTTATGAAAATGTCACTCTCTTTAAAATGAAAATGAATAAAGTCTTCAAAAAGAGACATTGACTTACCAATTAATGCTAAAAAGATATTGTATCAGCGTGCATCTGATTATTTGTTTCCATGTATGGATCTGTGCCCCTTCAAGGATCAACTGCCTTGTCATGGCAAAGGGGCTTGCAAAGCTCAAAGAAGTTATGAGCTACGCCGTGCAGGGCCACCCAAGGTAGACAGGTCATAGCAGAGAGCTCTGACAAAATGTGATCCACTGGAGAAGGATATGGGAACCCACTCCCGTATCTTTGCCATGAAAACTCCATGGGCAGTATACTACTGTAGGCAAAAATCCCTCAGGAAAAATGGAGTAGCCTTCATAGTTAATAACAGAGTAGGAAAAGCATTACTGGGATACAATCCCCAAAATAACAGAATGATGTCAGTTCAAATCCAAGGCAAACCATTCAACATCACAGTAGTCCAGGTCTATGCCCCAACCACTGGTGCTGAAGAGGGATGAAGTTGACCGCTTCTATAAAGCCCTACACTACCTTCTATAATTAACACAAAAAAAAACCCCTATGTCTTTATTGATGGATTGGAATGCTAAAGTAGGAAGCCAAAAGATAACTGGAAAAACAGGAAAGTTTGGCCTTGAAGTACAAAATGAAACAGGGCACAGACTGGTAGAATTTCCTCAGGACAATATAATGGTCATAGCAAACATTCTTTTACAACAACCTAAGAGATGACTCTACAGATGGACATCATCAGGCAGTCAACATAAAAATTAGACTGTGCTCTGCAGCCAAAGATGGAGAAGCTCTATACAGTCAGAAAAAAACAAGAGCAGGAGCTGACTGTGGCTCAGATCATGAGCTTCTCATTGCAAATATTATCAATTAGGGAAAAGCTACTCAGGTATGAACCAAATCATATCCATGGTGAATATGCAATAGAGGTGACAAATAGATTTAAGGAATTAGCTCTGATAGACAGAGTGCCTGAAGAACTATGAATGGAGGTTTGTAAAGTTGTACAAGTGGTAGTAACTAAAACCAATCCAAAGAAAAAGAAATGAAAGAAAGCAAAATGGCTGTCCCAGGAAGCTTTAAAACTAGCTGAGGAAAGAAGGGAAGCAAAAGGCAAGGGAGAAAGAGAAAAATACACCCAATTGACTGCAGAATTCTAGAGAATAGCAAGAAGAGATAAGAATGCCTTTTTAAATGAAGAGTGCAAAGAAATAGAAGAAAACAATAGAATAGGGAGGACCAGAGATATCTTCAAGAAAATTGGAGATATGAAGGGGACATGTTATACAAAGGTGGGCGTGATAAAGGACCGAAATGGCAGGGACCAACAGGCAGAATAGATTAAAAAGAGATGGCAAAATTACACAGAAAAACTATACAAGAATGAGCTCAACATCCCTGATAACCAAGATGGGGTGGTTACTGACCTCATGCCAGACATCTTGGAATGTTAAGTCAAATGGGCCTTAGGAAGTCTGAGCAACAACAAAACTAGTGGAGGTGACACTATTCCAGCTGAGCTATTCAAAATCTTAAAAGACAGTGCAGTAAAAGTGCTATGCTCAATTTGCCAGAAAATTTGGAAAATTCAACAGTGGCCACAGGATTGGAAAAAGTCAGCTTACATTCCAATTCCATAAAGGGCAATGCCAAAGAATGTTCAAAGTATCCCACCATTGCATGCATACTAGCAAAGTAATGCTCTAAATCCTGCAAGTTAAACTCTAGCAATATGTGGACTGAGAACTACCAGAAGTATAGGTACGATTTGGAAGAGGTAGAGGAAGTAGAGATCAAATTGCCAACATATGCTGCAGTGGTGGGTTTCAAAAATTTTTAGAACCTATTATGTAGGTGCAACCTGTTTTGTGGGAGTGGCTTGGCAGTCATGTGATGAGTGGGAGTGGCTTAGTGGTTGTGTGACCAGGTGGGCGTGGACACCTTAGAAAATGTGGTGAAACTCACTTATCAACACTTTTGCTTAGCAACTAAAATTTTGGGCTCAATTGTGATCATAAATTTCCTTCCTTCCTTCCTTCCTTCCTTCCTTCCTTCCTTCCTTCCTTCCTTCCTTCCTTCCATCCATCCATCCATCCATCCATCCATCCATCTTTCCTTCCTTCTTTCTTGTGTCTCTCTCTCCCTCTTTCTTTCCTTCCTTTCTTTTTCTTCCTTCTTCCTTCCTTCTTTTTTATGTCTCTATCTCCCTCTTTCTTACTTTCTTTCTTTCCTTTCTCTTCCTCTTTTTCCTTTCTTTCTTCCTTCTTTCTGTGTCTCTCTTTACCCCACTTACTTCCTTTCTTTTTCTTCCTCCTTCCTTCCTTCCTTCCTTTTTTGTGTCTCTATCTCCCTCTTTCTTTCTTCCTTCCTTTCCTTTCTCTTCCTCTTTTTTCTTTCTTTCTTCCTTCTTTCTTGTGTCTCTCTCTACCCCACTTACTTTCTTTCTTTTTCTTCCTTCCTTCCTTTCTTCCTTCCTTCCTTCCTTCCTTCTTTCTTGTCTCTCTCTCCAACTTTCTTTCCTACTTTTCTTTTTCTTCCTTCCTTCCTTTCTTCCTTCTTTCTTGTGTCTCTCTCTCCAACTTTCTTTCTCTTTCTCTTTATCTCTCTCTCTCTCTCTCACACACACACACACACACACATACACACACACACACATATACATACACACAAACACACACACACACACACACACACATACACACACACACACATATACATAC